TTTTTTTTGGCTGCTTTTTGAACATAAATGTAGAAATGAAGGGGATGAAACTGGTTTTGCCCCTGTTCCAAAAGTTGCTAGATCAAGACAAACTTCACTCGTTTCCAATTTAGCCAAACCTACTACTCTCCAATCTTTAGCGCATAAATTATTTATTCTAGCTCTTTATTTTAGTACATGCTTATCCTTACCGCACAAAAGTTGTAGAGATTCGGTGATATTGCATTTGATGGCATTGGCGAAATGGTCCCAATCGCAGGTGGGGTAAGGAAACGTGACGGAGGGCGAACTGATGGTAGCTAAAATGATTTGAAATGGTGAGAGTGGGGCTGCTCTTACTGTCATATGTTGTCTGAAAATAAAAGAAAGCTTCCTAACTACCTGCCCGGAAACGGCTTTTTGTAAAATGCTCATGTCGAATGCTGAGCCAATCAATGGTGATGATGGAATACTTATACTGAAAAGTGCAAGTTTTACTTATGATCATAATTAAAATTAGTTTCAAAACTCACCACGGAGGCACAAAGTTGGAGAGCCCTGCGACTGTCGGGCTCATTATTGGCGACTCGAGTCCTATGTCAATGCTATCTCTACGCAGAGGTGTGGGTCGCGGTAGAGTCTTCAAAAAATTAGCTTTGATTAATATTTTCTTGAGTCCAAAAGTTTTCTACCGGTGTTGTTGGACTGAAGATGTCGTTATCGGAGCCTTCAACGAAGCTTGACTCATCGTTAACTTTAAAGTCGAAGTTGAATGACTATAAGAAGCTTATACAACATATGAAAAGGGTTCAAAGCATATGCACAGAAATTAGTGAAAAAGCACTGGAGCTGCTGCTGAAGGGCTACCTTTTCAGATTTTGGAGTTTCCATATGCGTTTCATCCGATCTAGTTTTTTTATCTCTGGCGCACCATTTCCAGTCTGGATGAGCTTTGAAGTGAGCCTCTTTCACCTAGAACCTGAGAAGATTCTCTTGCTAGCGTATCCACCATGTACACCCTTTTACCTGTGTCGCAAGCTTATGATATTGTTGTTTCTCGTCAGCACCTAAGGCATACCACCACTCGCCCAGAATTTTCGACACAGTTCTATTGTCGCGATTTGGATACCTGTTGTGGACCATGGGTCGATGTCGCTTTGAGAAAATCATGAATGCGTTCATCGGTCTTCGGATGTGCTCTCGACTCTGCAATGAAGGCATTTAGCAGGATTTGTGGCAAAATTACTATCTTACCTTCTCCGATTTTGACTTCTTTCCACTTTTCTCCTTCACACAATCAAATGACAGCGTTTGCTCGCTATGATCTTCGCTTAGCTCTTCAACTTCTGAAAAAAA